ACAAGAGAAAGACATTGTTGTTTTTAAAGCAGGGAATCTTATGATCTGATTTACATTTTTAAAAGGCCTGTCTGGCTATTGTGAAGTGAGTGAGTTATTATGGGGTGAGGTAGGGTGAATTAGTAGGCTTTGGTGATAGTGTGAGAGATGGAAAAATGTAAATATATTCTGAGGGAAGAGCCCGTCAGACTTACTGGCAGATCTACCAGTGGGAACCGCGGAGCGCGAGAATGAGGAATGCAAACGACTCTTCGGCTTTCAGCTTGAGTAAATTCACCTAAGTTCACATTTTGCTTTTGTAAAAATGAGGAAGATTAGAAGAACAGGTTTTCTAGCTGGAAAAAAAGAGTTCTTTCTGGACATGAAAATTTGGAGAAGCCTATTAGATATTCAAGTGCAGGGGAGATGCTAATGGTAGGGACATCCCCATGGGTATTATCAACATATGGAGCATATTTAAAGCCTGGGAGTGGCAGAGGCCACCTGAGCAAGTGGAGATAGTGAGAAGATGAAGCTGCCCGGGGTTAGGGAGCTGGCGTCAATCAATCAGAAGTCTGGTGAAGAGGAGCAGCCCGCTGAGCAGGACGCCTGGGAGTCAGAAGGGAAAAGCAGGGGTGCTGGGTTGCACTGACTGCAGCCGAGAGGTGAGGAAAGTGAGAACAGATACGACAGCCCTGGTGGTGGGCCCAGAAGCAGCAGGTAATGACTGACAAGAGTAGTTTCAGAGCAGAGTAAAGGAAGGGAACTCCACTGGAGAGGAGAATGGGGAGAGCAAGTGGAGCTGTTAGCTCAGGCAGCATTTCTGCCAAGCTTCTTAGTGAAAAGGAGGCAGAACGGCTTCTGAGAAAACAGCATAGGTCTGGTGGGGAGTGATCTGGTCAAGAAAAAATATATATATTTTTTAGCCAATGGGAGATACTGGAGGACATTTTCTAGGTTGATGGGAACCATCTTGTAAAAGTAGGAAAAGGTGAGGCTGGCCCCGTGGCCTAGTGGTTAAGCTCAGCGCTCTACTTCAGTGGCCCAGGTTCGGTTCCTGGGTGCCGACCTACACCACTCATCAGCAGCCGTGCTGTAGCAGTGACTAACATACAAAACAGAGGAAGACTGGCACGGACATTAGCTCAGGACAAATCATCCTCAGAAAAACAAAGAAAAAACAGTAGGAGAAAAACATCTACCTAAATCTGAACTTAAAAACTCTCTTAACTAATTCAATTTAAAATCCTTCTGGTTCTTTGACCTACGGAATTGCTGTCTATAAAAATGAAAATTAGTAAGACATTAAGAAATTTTAAATTATCTGAAATTAATGTGCTTTTATTTTATGATGACCTTGTTAGAAAAATGTAGTAAAAAATACATTTTAATAAATCTGTTTTTCCAGGGAAAGAACATATAATTAACAAATTCTGCACTTAAACACAATCTAATTAATTATTTTAATATTTAAAGTTAAAGAACCTAGGCCCTGCTTGTCAGGGATAAAAAAGGATTTTGGCCAAACTCATAGGCCATATAGTTGTAGGTTGCTGGCAAAATTGTATGCGCAATTGTAAAAGTAGAAACTATTCTCTCAGTATTTTTCTTTAAAATAATGTGTGGCTTTTTCACTATTTCATAGTTTGCTCTTTTTTTTTTTTTTGAGGAAGATTAGTCTTGAGCTAACATCTGCTTCCAATCCTCCTCTTTTTGCTAAGGAAGACTGGCCCTGAGCTAACATCTGTGGCCATGTTCCTCTACTTTATATGTGGGACGCCTACCACAGCATGGCTTGCCAAGCGGTGCCATGTCTGCATCCGGGATCTGAACCAGTGAACCCTAGGCCACCAAAGCGGAATGTGTGAACTTAACTGCTGCGCCACTGCGGCTGGCCCCTGTAGTTTGCTATTGAGTTAACCAGACCTGATACAAATTCTTTCTTTATGGGTCTCAAAATCTCTGAGCCTCATTTGTGTGTACGTATGTGTGTGTGTGTGTGAGAGAGAGAGAGAGAGAGAGAAACAGAGAGAAAGACAGACAGAGAGAAAGAAAGAGAGAAATGGGGAAATTAATATCTGCCTCACAGAAATACAAAAGTAAAAGTATGTGTAAAACAGCTGAATCCCGGCTTTTATAGATGCTTAGTAAAATGTAGTTTACTGTTTTTATTTATATTTTTTCATTATCATTTTCATTATTATTATTGTCATATTGATGAAGTTAAGGAAACTATATACTACAGAAGAACTTTATTTCCACTGATGGCAACTGACAAAAAATAAATAAATAAATAAAGTCATCGTCATGGGTGATTTGATTTTAAAATTAAGAATAGAGAATATAAAATTACTTGAGAAACACTAAAAACTTACAATTGAATTTTATATAACGGCTAGTTAAGGGCTGGTAGTATAGAACGAGAGTATAGAGAAAGAAGTAGAACAAAATAGGTGAGAGAGAAACAAGCACATGACAAAGAAAAAACAGTGGCATAAGGAAGCAGAAACTGAAACAAACTGGAAATGAAGGAGATGGGCAGCAAAAGCCCAGGTAAACGACCTGTCTCAAGTCAGGGCTTCATCTTCCTTTGATGTGTGTTACTCTAGAAGACGAGTGACTATTCTTTCTACTAGTGATTCATTTTTTTTACTTCCTAACTCACGATGCCAGAGTCTTCTCTCCTAATGGGCTAACTAGTGAAGATTGTGGGAGAGAAATTATTCCCTGGGTTGCAGTAGTTGTTAATAGGGCAGCTGTATTTCCAAATGCTGCAAATAAATTAAGCTAAAATCCACACTTTGTCTTTGATTAAGACTTAAACGTGGGGGCTGGCCTGGTGGCACAGTGGTCCAGTTAGCACGTTCTGATTCAGTAGCCCAGGGTTTGCCAGTTCGGATCCGGGGTGCAGACATGGCATGGCTTGTCCAGCCATGCTGTGGCAGGTGTCCCACATATAAAGTAGAGGAAGATGGGCATGGATGTTAGCTCAGGGCCAGTCTTCCTCAGCCAAAAGAGGAGGATTGGTGGCAGATGTTAGCTCAGGGCTAATCTTCCTCAAAAAAAAGAAGAAGAAGAATTAAATGTTTCCCTCTTTCTCTTCTCCAAATTTTCCTTTTTTTTTTGGTGAGCAAGATTGGCTCTGAGCTAACATCCATTGCCAATCTTCTTTTTGCTTGAGGAAGATTGTTGCTGAGCTTAACATCTGTGCTAATCTTCCTCTATCATGTATGTGGGGTGCCACCACAGCATGGCTTGATGGGCAGTGTGTAGGTCTGTGCCCAGGATCTGAACCTGTGAACCCTGGGCCACTAAAGCGGAGCATATAAACTTAACCCCTACACCACCGCGCTGGCCCCCACATTTTCTTTAATAGAAGATTTTACCTTAACCTCCACTTAATTGTTGGATTGACTAACATTTCCCATTCTCTCTGTAAAGCCCACTAGCTGTCTCACTGCACGCCAATGGCCCAGAGCTCTCAGACCACGCCCAAGGAGACCAGCACAGGCTGCTCCCAGCTAAGGTCCATGAGTACCAAGAATCAAAGCAGTTTGCTCCCAGCCCTCCTTATAAGCCAGTTGGGTTTGCTGTTGTAAAGTAATCAAAGATTAATCAAGGTGGGGAAATATGAGTGTGATAAGGAGAATTGCTGTCAATGAAAATTAAATTAACGCCATGCAAAGGTGAAGAGATCATCTTCTGAGTATCTGAAGTTCTTGTTTCAGATTAAGGAAATCACCAAATTGAAATTGTAAATGATGAATTATTGGTATAGCTTATGCAAGAAATATGGTGTAGAATTCCAATCAATAGTCACTTAATCAAAGAGAAAGCCATGGCCTTACATCAAAAGACTGGCACGTGAATGCAAATGCACTATTTTTAGTCGAAACAGAATACTTGCAGTATGAATGCATCATTTTTATGGTTCCCTTTACCAACAGACCTTTCAACTCATTAACCTTGGTTTTGGTCACAGCAGATAAGATCGTATCTACTGTGCTCTTAAGCAGGGTACCATAGACAATGATCTTGCTACATGGAAATAATCAAACAATTAGGGTTTAGAAAGAAAATTAGACTTATGGTCACCAGAGCAGAGGAAACTTTGCAAATAAAAAAAAAAAAAAACAGCACAGGTAAATGCATGTAAGCTATCAGAATTGGTGAACTTCTTATTCTGAGACATTTTGTCCTCATTAAGCATAATAGGGCAATTATATAATGTTTGCCACACATTTTTGTTCAAGTTGTAGATTTCTGGAAGATCAAGGACATAAACTTGGGATTATATGAACAAATGCAAGAAAATAATATTACTTACCTAAACGATAATCAAAATGATAGATCCCTGATTGTCTATGAAAGCTGACCACTTACTAAAATTGTAATGTACCACAGAACTGTATGATTGATAGAATGTATACTTACAGATTTCCCACAGAAATATTTCTCTCAAAAACTCTGAATAATAATAGCATAAATTTTACAAAATTTAAAATGTTTCCTATGAATATAAATATGTATATTCATAAAATAATGCATTTTAATAAATACTAAGTAAGAAACTTTGTGTTTAAGTTGATGTGTTATGGTTTATGAAACTATGATCCTCAAAACAAACAAAATAAATGATTTGTTAATGAGGAAAAAACACACATAGCTAAAATTGTAAGTAAAATCATCAAATGAAATGCGTAGTTGCTGACCTCTTACCTTTAAAATAAATCCTACAAACCTCTCCACAAGTGATTTGTGCTTATTTTAAGCCTGAACTGAAAGCTCTACAATCAAAATGCACAATGGTGCACATAGTCTGTACTGCCACCAAGTGCCTAAACCAATTAGTTTTAAGATTCTTGCAGCAGCTGTAAATGGATGCTATCACTGTTGAATGAGTGGCCGTTTGCAAACAGGCTAAGAGCACACTACTTCGACCATGATTGGCTACAAAAGCACCACCATTTAGACATGACAGTAAAATCTCCAAGGCATTAATAAAACGTCAAGAATCCTACCAGCTCACTGGAAGCTCATGAAGTCTAAATATGTCATTCAGCTTGTAGTCAAATTTTGCTGGACCAATATTTTCCTTACATAAATACAGGTTTGGATTTGGCATCATATCTGTGGGAAATTCGGAGTCCTAGAGAAAAAATAAGGCAAGAGCTCTCTGTAAAATAGCCAAATCACTGTACTGATGGGTGTCGTGTTATTTACTATTAAATTACAACATAAACATTACCATTACATTCCCTCAGGACTTACCTTAAGTCCTTCATTTACTATTTTAGTTTTGAGAAAATATGCAAACAAGATAAAATTTTAAATAAGGCTCTATCTATTTGCATGAGTCTAAACTGCATGGTACATGGTAAAAATTAGGTGAAGACATCCCCTTATTGAATTACGATGAAGCACAATATGAAGGGCAGGTTGTCTGTACATTGCTCGTCAACTGTCATTTTTCATCCCCAACAGTAATGTCAGCAAAATCTGTGAGTATTCTTCTACTCCTTTTGTTCTCCATAAGTGGTGGACTAAAAACACTTTCATTGGGTAGCAAAATAATAACATTGCTAATTGATTAATTAGTTTTCCTCTTTAAATCTGAGGACACAGGGGTAATTTAAAGGCACTTACTGAACGTAAAAGATTTCTGTCATAATCATTTTAAATCTCATATACGCTAAAATTCACATCTGCCATGTATTGGTCACCTCCCTCCCCAACAAGCAAACTCTCAAAGATCATTTTCAGTCCATGAGAAAGTAGTCTCTCTTCAGTGGAAAGAAGACATAGTATGAAGGGGAACTTAATTAATGCTTAATGAAGGATAGATTAATTGCTCAACTCTACAAGAAAAGAAAGTAATCAGTCTCCTTACACTTAATGCTTTAAGGTGGGAGAAGAGTGAAAGGGGTACAGGGGGACATGTTTACGGTGACGGATGGAAACTGGACCTTTTTTTGACAGGGACATGATGTAGTCTACACAGAAGTCGAAAATAACAGTATACATTTGAAATTTATATATTATAAACCAATGTTACCTCAATAAAAATTAATCAATTAATTAATTAATTAAAGAAATAAAATAGCCATTAGAGAGGGAGGCATATCATTTGTTTGTGCATTCATTCATTTATTCAAAAATATTTATAAGTGTTGCTTCATCCCAACACTATTCTAGGCATGGGAAATCCACCAATGAACAAGGCAGATGAAACATCTTGCCCTCAGGAGGTTACATTACAATGGATTTTTAATGTAGCCTCAGGGCTGGAAAATAATAAAGCTAGTTTTCCCTAAATGAAGTATTTTTTTGATTAACAAAGTAATGCATATTCACATAGAAATGTCATGCATTTCACAATATGACAAAGAAAAAACTGAAAAGCAATCTTATTCTCACCACACAGATATGATTACTATGAACACTTTGGTTTAATCATTTGTCTCTCTTTCTCAACTTTCACAAAATTGGAAACATGCTCTATTTATCTACCCTCCATTTTTTTAATTTAACATGATATCATTGCATTTTCACATTATTTAGTCTGTTTTGAAAGAATGACAAATGCCATATTTTATTTAACATTCATGGATTTTTGTTTCCCTTATGATTATCAATGCTATGAATAGAATTTTCTGTCTATAAATATGCACTTCACTGATTATATTTTCAAAGCACAGTTCTAGAAGTGTAAGTAAATAATAACTCAAGTAAAATAAATATTTAACAAAAACTTGATACCTCTTCACAGATTGCTCTTCAGAAATGTTCTATGAAGTTTTACTCCTGCCAGTCATTTAGTACTGCATGAAATTCACCACACGTTTATTAATGGTGCACACACACACACACACACACTTACTCATATTTAAAATAATCCATTCAGTAATTATTTCTTTTGACTAGTAATTGTTATTGAGTGTCTATTTCAGGACACAGGCCCTGGTTTCAGTTCTTACAACATGTCACTGGACAAAACAGACAAAATTCCCTCCCTTGTGGAGCTTACATTCTAGCATGAGGACATCATGGACAATAAAAATAATAAATATGTAAATTATATTCTTAGGCAAAAAGTCTATAGAAAAGCTGTTGCTAATTTACATATAAAACTATATTCAGGAGACCGTGTCAAGTAGGCAGTCTCTGAACTCACCTTGTCCCACAGACACAACAAACTTACAACTACTCTTGGAATAATTACCCCTGAGAGAGAACTGAAAACTGCCTAAAAAGAACCCTTACAACAAGGGACAGTCCTGCCTGAGGTGGAAGAGGCAGAAATTCCTTTCTGGAGAGAAAAAAGCCACCTTTAGCTGCACCACTTCATGGCTGGCTGGGAGCAATCCTAAGGTATGCAGCCTTCCCCAGAGGAGCAGGGGATCTTAGTGGGGGAGATTTACCACAATAAGCAGCTTCAGGACTCAGCATGACAGAGACAAGTGTCATAATATCTGGCTTTGCTGGCTATTAACTACAACAGGGAATACGTCCAGAAAAGCTATTGGACATAATGGGGGAAAAAGCCTGCTCTTAAAGGGCCCATGCACAAATTCACTCATTTCATAAAATAACCTAAAATCACCAGAAAGAAAGATGCACACTCCTTTGGTGAAAAGAGACTAACTTGATGGACTCTGGACACATCTCACTGAGAAGTGAGAGCCTCCTCAGGCTGGGACTATGTCCTCAGGGACTGACATTGGTGGCAGCCATTATTGTGACCTTACTACAGGCATGCTGACACTGAAGCTGGCAGACACCACTGGAATTCTTCCCCAGAACTTTTAGCCCAGGGTCTGCCCCAACCACTAGAGCGCCAATTTAATCCAGCTCAGCCAGGGAAGGCAGCCTGCCAGGCAGACTGGCCCCACGCAACAGCAAGCCCTCAGGTAACTTGTGGGCCCACATAGGTGGGGTACCTGGGACCTCTACAACCTGGCAATGGGTCTGTCTCTGCCAGGCAGGGCATGCACAAGGGGCGGGCCTGCATTGTTGGAGTGTGTGGAGCCTCTGCCGTGGGGCAACTTGGTCTGCTTCAGTGGATTGAGGGGTGCACATGGGGCAGGACTGTGTTGATAGCATGTGTGACCCTGCAGGTGGTGGGGCTTAGCAGCTACAGCAGACATGCGCTTCTCAAGCCTAGAACAACTGAGTACTCCCATGCCTGGGGCAAGCCACACACAGCTGCAATCCTGAGAGAATTGATAACAGCCTTGCAGGCTGGAGGCCTACAGCAATTGTAAGTCCATGAGCCTAGCAACCACACTGGGGGCCTACTAACCTAACAGAAAAAGTACAGCAGGAATGTGCTATTAAAACTTGCAGCCAACTGTGCTGGGGTTCCCCACACTCAGTAAAGTGACTGAAAGGACTATGGCAGCCATATGCAGCTGCTTACAATCAGTCAGCTAAGGGAACAGCCTAGCCTCCCCAGGCACCTGCAGCAAAAGCAACTCTTCCACAACAGAAGGACACACAGAGCCCACACAGGGGACATGCCTAGACCATTTGGAACTGGTGACAAGAGGGAAGCATGCTGCTGGGCATCATAAGTCATCTCTTACATAACGCCACTTCTTCAAGATCAGGAGATGTAGTTGACCCATCTAATACATAGATACAAGCAGAGAGAAAGAGGCAAAAGGAAGAGACAAAGGAATATGTTCCAAGTAAGGGAACAGGACAAAACCACAGAAAAAGAACTAAATGAAACAGAGAAAAACAATCTACCTGACAAAGAGTATAAACTAATAGTCATACAGATGCTCACTGATCTTGGGAGGAGAATGGACAAACTCAGTGAGAACTTCAACAAAGAATTGGAAAACATAAAAAAGAAACAATCAGGAATGAAGAAAACAATACTGGAAAATGAAAAATTCACCAGAGGGACTCAATAGCAGAATAGATGATGCAGAAGAACAGATCAGTGAGCTAGTTGAAAGACTAGAGGAAATAACCCAAGCTGAACACGTGAAAGAAAAAAGAATTTAAAAGAATGAGGACAGTCTAAGGAACCTCTGGGACAATATCAAGCACACTAACATCCATATGATAGGTGTCCCAGAAGGAGAATAGAGAGACAAAGGGGCAGAGAATCTATTTGAATAAACAATAGCTGAAATCTTTGCTAACCTAAGGAAGGAAACATACATCCAGGTACAAGAAGCACAGAGACCACCAAACAAGATAAACCATAAGAGGCCACACCAAGACATATTATAATTAAAATGTCAAGAATTAGAAATAAGAAGAGAATTCTAAAAGCTGCAAGAGAAAGGCAATGACTTACTTACCAAGGAAACCCCATAAGTCTATCAGCTGACTTCTCAGCAGAAACTCAGAAGGGAGTGGCACAATATATTTGAAGTGCTGAAAGGAAAAAACCTACAGCCAAGAATACTCTACCTGGCAAGGTTATCATTCGGAATGGAAGGAGATATAAAGAGCTTCCCAGACAATCAAAAACTAAAGAAGTTTATCACCAAGAAGCCAGCCTTACAAGAAGTGCTAAAGGGACCTGTTTAATTGGAAAAAAGGAAGACCACAAATGGAAATAAGAAAATCATCAAAAAAAGCACAAAACAATAAAATCAATGGCAAATATACAGTAAAGATAGCAGGTCAATCACCTATGAAGCTAATATGAAAGTCAAAAGACAAAAGCACTAAAATTATCTATTTCCATGATAAGAGGGTAACAGATACACATGCACAGAAAACGAGGTTAGATATGATATCAAAAACATAAAATTGGGAGGAGGGGAGTCAAAGACCACAGCTTTTAGAAGGAGGTCAACCTAAAGAGACCATTAATTTAATATAGCTTCCTCTATATGTAGATTATTATATATGAACCTCATGATAATCACAAACCAGAAACATATAATAAATACACAAAAAAACTGAGAAAGGAATCCAACACAACACTACAGAAAGCCTTCAAACCACAATGAAAGAGAGCACGAGAAGAAGAAAGGAACAGAGAACTACTAAAACACCCAGAAAAAATGTAACAAAATGGCAATAAGTAAATTCTTATCAATAGCTACTCAAAATTATCAATAGAGTAAATGCTCCAATCAAAAGGGAGAGGGTGGCCAACTGGATAAAGAAAACAAGACACAT